TCTCTCTCTCTCTCTCTCTCTCTCTCTCTCTCTCTCTCTCTGTCTCTGTCTTTCTCTCTCTCTGTCTCTCTGCCTTCTGTCTCTCTTACCCTCTCAGCTCCCATCCTCATGCCCTGAATAAACTCTGCTCTACTCTATACTATACCATCCATCGAGTGGGTGGCCCCTCAGAGGGAAAAGATGCCTCAGCATGTGCCCATGGAGGCATCCCCTACCCCCACATCTGACTGCACATCCACCAAACATATTCCTCCTCTCTTTATCTTTTTTATACAACACAACATGTTCTATATTACAAGTACTCTTTTTTTTAAGTATTTGGAATGCATTGGTAATCATAAGTGAAAAAAGAGACACTTTTAAGGCCTTATGTTGTAGTAAGACAAATAGGATATTATAATTAAGTGACTTATTAAGGGAATGTATGCATTTTGACTGTATAGTCTACTGCTTTTCTGAATTGGTTACTCACAACTTTTTTCTAGTTTGTTCTGGCTTATTTCTTTAACTGTGTGTCTTAGTTTGCACCCAAATCTAATTTTTCCATAGTTAGTGATACCTTTTGTAATTAGAAAGTTTTATATCTTATTTTAATTGTATCCATCACGATTCTTTTGAGTCAGAATTTCATTCTTGCTGAACTGGAGCTTACTCTGTAAACCAAGCTGGCTTAAAACTCAGAGATCCACCTGCTTCTGCCCCGCCTCTGCCCCTGCCTCTGCCTCTGTCTCTACCTCCTGAGTGCTGAGATTCAAGGTGTGTACCACCACACTTGACATTTTCCTTCTTTTTAGTTTTTACATTTGGAGCCTTTAGTATTTATCTACTTTCAAAGCTCAAAGTTAGACATTCTACTTATTGCTTTTTTATTTGGGTATTAGTCGGATCCATCTGAAATTAATTTTTAGTCCTCTGCTCCAATTCCCAATTGCTTATAGAACATTCTCTGGAATTGCCAAAAGAATCTTGATAAAATGTAATACAAATTATGATATTCTAGTGCTTTCCCTTCCTGGACATCTTCCCCTTTCAGTCAGGTAAAAACAAAATTCCTTCCGTTGCAGAGATTGTAACCGGCAGGGCTCTAGATCTGCTGAATCCCCAGCCACTGTGACTTCTTTGGAATCACCTCCCACAGCTCTCTATCTTCCTCCCTCAGCTCTATCTTCACACCATCCTGCCCGCTTCTCCTCAAACACACCAGGTCTTCTTTGGCCCAGGAGCAACTGTTATCACTCTATCTGGAATGCACATTCCCCTGATTGGTGCTATAGGGCACTTCTCACATCACCTTAACACAAAAGCCAAGCATTCCAGGTGGCCTTCCCTGGCTCCTATCTCTAAGCTATTCTTCTCTTCAATTTCATTTCCCTGGCCCTTGCTTTACTGTTTTCCTCCTTAGCACATGGCTCAGGAAGCTTTATTATGTACTTTTCTTGGCTACTGCCTAGCTTCTACAGTAAAATGCGAGCCCTAGAGGTTAAGGACCTTTTTTTTTTAATTTACTTCAACTGTTCATTGCTGCATCAGTGCCTGTCTAGACAAGTGCCAGAGCCCACCCAAAGTAAATATTTGTGGGAAGAAGATAAAACAAATGAACTGAGACAGCAGGTTTCCATGGGTTTAGCCTCAAATTTACAAATACAGATCCCTCCAGGGAACGACTGTGGATTTTATCAAAGCAAAAAGGACAACTAGAGGAGTGGAAGACTGGAACATTCCGAGCCTAAAGTGGGCTGAACCCTTCCTCTCACTCAGCTACTTGTATCTTGGTAGGAATGTGAGTCCTAATGGTTGTGTTAGTTTGTTTCATTTGCTTTTCAGGGCAGTCCGGAAATGAGTATAGATTGTGTGAACTCTTAGAAAAACCACAACTCTTATTTTGAAATAGGAAATAATAAAACTGAAATACCAGACAAAACATAAAAGCCAGATAAAAGTGGCTGGTGTGGGCTACACAAAGTTATATCATGTAGGAGAGAAAACTGAACTCTGTTCTGGTGAGGTGAGGTGCCCTTGAGTAATTCTTCAGGCTATCAGCCTCTTCTCTGGGTTTACTAGGATGTTCTTTTAATCTTCAGAGAGCCAGTGCTTACTCTATTATGTATGCTTCTCCAGCATAGACAGAATAGACAACATTCTTTCTTTGAGGTAGAAGTTTAGTTACGGGCAGGGTTTCAGAAACCAGAGAAAAGCACTTTGAAAGATTTCTGGAAGACAGGGTAAAGAGGACATAAAAAGGAACTGGGCAGAGACCTCTGCTCTGGATACCATAGTTCTGGGGGACTATATTGAGGTTGCTTCTTCTTCTGCTCACCAGCTACAACCCATCCACATGACAGAATACACCTGGAGGAACTAGTTACACAAAATCACAATATCCAACGCTATTACCCGGAGCATCCACATTACCTGCAAATGAGCAGCTGCATGAACTTCTATCACTGTTTAGCAGGAATTTAACAGGGTATTGTTCAGCCATGAGGTATCAAAAAAGTTGTCAGGGGCCAGGGGCTTTGTGGGTGAGGTCTCTACAGATACAGAGCTCTGCAGTGCACCAGACCTCGCTTTGCAGGCTCATTAAGTGAAGCCACCTATAATTACAGGCAGCTGTGACAGAAGAACGGAAAGCCTGGTTCTCTCTAATCTCGTGGAGAGGCTTTAGGCTCTATTATCAGATGCCTCGCCTGAGGGTGGTGAGGGAGGGATATTAAAGCCGGAGGATCAACAGTGATAGGAGTCTTCTATCAGCTTGGCAGGATTTCATTTTTTTTCCAGATAAAGTATGTTCTAAACTCATGATAGCATCTCTTAAATTCTGTGAGCCTCACTAACTCATTCTTCAGAAGTATCGTTTACCCAAACTATGGGAAATGAATCATGACATTGAGGTCCCCCGGGTTTACTGTATTGTGTCCTCTGGAAATACAAGGAGACAGCCCACAGGCCAGAGCCTCAGAACCACTGTTCCTGTGTCTGGGTTTGAAACTGGAGGTTCTGCTTGGCAGGTACGACACAGACTCTCAGAATGAAGAAGTGACTCTTAATTCATTAGTCTGAGTTTTCTTAATTGAAATTCCTGTACCATAAGCCTCCACTATATCTGCCTTCTTTAACAGCTGATGACTATTTTGTGAAACCAGCCAAGGTGGTCAATGTGGATGTACCCAGATGTACAACCTTTTTTCTTTTTTTTTAAAAGCTTTTGGGAGTGCCCTGGGCCCTGCTAACAAGCCTTTCTCAAAACACTCCTTTGGGTATTCCTTCTTCCTAGACTTCATCCTTCCTGTGTGCCCTCCATCTACCTCCCTCTTTGAGTTGTTTAGCCTCTCCACAAGTCATTCTTAAACTTGTTCTGGAGAGCTTCTAAAATTCTTTGTGTTCCTCTCTACTCAGTTTCCTTCATTTTCCTTAAAGACCCAAGATCTCTCTTTCTGTAACACCCCCAACCCCAATTATATGTTTCTCCTTCAAACACTGTGCCTCCCTCAGGGAACCTCCTTTTCTTCTTCAGCACCTTTTCCAAGCAGTCACCTCTTCTAAACACCCCATCCCATCTCTATTTCCTGCCCCCCCCGACCATACTAGATAATCTCCATTCAATTTTTTAGATGACTGATTATAATAATAATGGTACTTTATTCACAGGTTAAATTGACAGCTGTTCTTCATATCCCTTCCACCAAACATACTCATCTCTTACACAAGACAATGTTTTTACATTTAACAGGTCATGTCCACAGATTGGTAGTTTCCAGAACAAAAACAACAGCAATGCTGGCAAAGATTCTGAGTTGTCAGAAACTCTCAGGCTTTTAATACACTGAAAAATTAATATTCTTTGCACATCTACAAAGTACACATTTGCTTCCCCACACTACGCAAATCTGACCCTAAGAGTTCTTTTTCACCAAGTCATAGACATAGATATGGAAATCATCGTCAAACTTGATGAAGTACACAGAGGGCTTGGCTTTAACTTGGTGAATGACCTTGCCTGTCCTCTTGGAGCCGTCTTCTTTGGTGTATTCCACATGTTTACCTATCAGGCCATCTACAATTCCTTCTGGCTCCCTGTCTGCTGGAGGAGATGCACTGGACTCTGGCATGATACGGAGGTCGCCCTCTTTATAATCATCCAGAAGCTGATACATGTACAATACGGGATCTTTCTCATAAGTAATATAAAACCAGGCGTTCATGATGGGTGCTTGGGCCAGGACCATCCCCCTCCATTCATCCTTAGAGCCATGCTCACCCTCAAACATGTGTTCCACTGCTTTGCCAATTATGGTATTAGCAAGGCGCACATCGCTGACTCGAGAAAAGGACACCTTATCTGGAAGGATTTTAAGCTTTAAAATCCTTTCATCTCTGTGAAGTTCCAGTCCATAGACACAGTCAATCCCATCATATTTCACCAGGTAGAGAGAGGGGTTGATAGGCACCTGATCCAGCACAGTTCCTTTCCACTGTGTGATTGGCTCATCTCCCTCCTTCCACCCGTGAGAGATTCTGCAGCCTACGATGTTCCTTCGGGGCCGGGATGAAGATCTGCTCCTCTGCCTCTTCTGAGAAGCTTTTTTCTTCTTGATGGTTGTAGAGCCAATGTGGTGACCTATGGCTTCTCCCTTTTGCTCTTTTGCAGCAGCTTTTTTGTGAGGGGTCTTCATACCTGTAAGAGGAGGAGAGAATCTAGGGAGAAACATTCTATGCAAACATTAAGGTTATTTTTCTGTGGATTAGGAAGTCCCTGCGCACTATATACATTTGTCCAGTAGTAGTATACTATATCAAAACGTGTTTAAATACCTGCCTGCATTACCCTCTTCCCAGGCTTGTTTAGTTACACAACAGAGTTAGAGAAGAGATCGCTGTGGAAGTTGTAGCGCTTGAGAGCCAAGCAAGAAGCAGCTGGTTCTTGGTTAGCTCCGTTGTCATCCTAGCTGCCCCGCTCCACCATCCCTATTTGTAACCCCAATCCCATATCTGTATATCCCTTCGTGCAATTCCTTTCTCTTACCCACTGTTCTCCTCCTTTTCATCTCGCTCTTACTGCCCATACTCATGCTTGCTCTGTGCTCACTTCTTCATATGTCTTCCAAATCAACCCCGTTTCCCTTTGAGCTCAGGAATCTGTCTCTCGCTCTGGCCACCTTTGTATAAGATTCCCCGTGTTTCTTGCTCCGTGCCCCGCCCCCCAAATCTCGGTTCGAGTTTCCCTCAGCTCAAATCTTAGCACTCCCTCCAATTTTCCTGACAGGCAGAAACCCATTCCTATTTTCCGGCACCCAGTCTGATGCTCACCTGCTCACTGGGTTTGCAGCACTCGCGTGCCCAAATCGGACAGAAGACTGTTGCCTCCGCTGCGAGCCTGGAGCGAAGGATGATCAGCCGGCGAGCAGCCAAATGAGCGCCTGTGAGAGCACAGCCAGGAGGAGTCTAAGGCCAAGCGCCAGTCTAGGAAAGCCGCGGGGCAAAAGAAGGGAGCATCCAGGAAGTCCCGCTCTGGGCTTTCTCTCACCTTATTCCCGAGTGTCAGAGGCAGCAGTACCTGGGCCACTTAAGAGCTTCCAGCAGTCGCTGCTGCCACTGCAGTCTCCTCCCTCTTTTCCTAGCGTAGCTTCCTGCCCCGCGAGAGGCCGCCCCTTCCTGCCATACACCGTTCAACCGCCTCCTCTCCTACTCCACACCGTGGTTCTAAGCTGGGGAATGTGCTCTTGTCCTCTTCCCTTCTGCCAAATCAGGAGCCAGGAATTCTCCACACACACCCCCAACCCTTCCCCCACACAACCCCTCTCCACAGCTCCTAAGGATTCCCTCCTTCAGTCTGGGTTCCCCACCCCCACCTGCAACTCTACACTTTAATGCCCCCAACCGCATCTGCTTTCCATCCTTCAGGAATTTGCTTTTCCTTTACCCCGTGCCCTCATGGAGTTTTCTTTATGCAAAAACTGCCTTTCCTGTTGTTTTAGGCTAGTGGAGCTAGGATAAGAAAGAAGAAAAAAGCCCCGATGCTCACTTCTTTCTTCTGTTTTGACGCGATTCATAAGTAAGTTTTCTTGATTGCTCATCTTCTGGAGAATACGAACCGAACCTACCAGCTGCAGAATTTTATGCACGATGTGTAAGATTCTCAAACGTACATTAGATCAGCTTCGCCTCTTCCCCATTCCCTTCGCCTCGTCACAAAATAGCGGTTCTCGTATTTCCTTTTCTTCTATGCTTCTAAAAGAGCTTGCATTATTTATGCAAAGGTGGTTGGTTTTTTTTGGTTTATTTTATTTTATTTTGCAAAGGTGGTTGTTAAAAATGATCTATAAGACAATTTCAGATATTTCTGAATGCAGAGCATATATGGCAATACGGGAATAGACAAATACCCTCACTTCAGACTTAACATTCATTTCTGGTCACTCTTTTAAAAGTAGAAATAAAACCCACCCATAAGGTGTGATTTTTAATCCTGTAGCACGGACCTTACTCTTACAGCCTTCAATGTATGTGTGTGTACATGTGGATATTGTGTTTCGTGATAAAGAGTTTCAATAGTCTTTTGCTTGGCTTACTTAGGTTTTATGCATGTGGGTTGGTATGTATATACCTATTCAAACTGGTATAGCTGGGGGATGTATTTGCTGGAGGATCTTACCTGCCATCTGGCTTCGTCGTGTGTAACTCTGTTGTTATATGGGACTCTAAGAAACTAAGAAGTGTCAAGTAATATTACTGACTTCAAGGAGCTGTGCTAGAAGCAGATCCTGTGGCATATTACAAGAGTATTTGGAAGGCTAAATATATGTCCTATTTCCTTCAATCACCTACACAGCCAAAGTACATCTTCTACTTACTCAAACACACACAAAGAAGAGTGTGCAAAGTAGATGCTTATATATTTTTTCACACTGTACATGTTGAACGTGGGTTGATACTGAATGCATGCTTTAATGTAACCTTCTCATTATTTTCTATAGATTCGGAAGTATGTATCTTCACACTATATCCAGGGAAGCAGGGAGGCAAACTGCAGATGTTCTCCCATCCCTTCTCTCTTTCAAATCCAATCCCCTAGTCTCATCCCAAGCTCTGCAGCAAAACACCTGCTGCAATCTTGTCCTCCCCCATTTTCAGTGGATCCCACAAATCATCCCCTCTAAATTTCCTTCCCCACACCCGTTGCTTTGTCTCAGCCCTCAACTTCAGCTGACTCTCCCTGGGGATCCACTGGCCACTCCTACCAGGGAAGCAAGTAGGCTTCAGACCTTTCCTGTAGATCTTCACCTCTCCCTCCATTCTTCTAAATCTAATTCCCTAGTCTTAGCCCTAGCTCTAGACAGACCTCCTGCTGTGGCCTCTCCTTGCTCTCTGCCCCCATTCCCAGGGAACTAAATAGATCCTGGTGGAATACCCTGCTTTTCCCCTCTTGTGAAACTATCTACTGCTACCAGCCCATCCCCATTCCTAAGTGTCAGGTCCCAATGCCCAGAAACACATTTTACATAGAAACCCTCAATGCCCACACCTATCCAGGACCCCAGAAGATTTTCCTATAGGTAACACACAGGCATAATTTCTTAAGAACCAGAGAGGAAACAGAAATCAAGGAATAAAGCATCCACCCAACAAAGAAAAGACTAGGTATCAACACCTAGAATTACAATCTTCCTAATCCCAGATGCCTAGACATCAATAGTAAAACACAGTAACAGCCAGGACAATGTCCTCATTAAGTCCAACTATCCTACCACAGCAGGTCCTGAATATTCTAACATAGCTGAAGCATAGAAAATGACGGGCAGTGGTGGTGCACGCCTTTAATCCCAGCACTTGGGAGGCAGAGGCAGGTGGATTTCTGAGTTCAAGGCCCGCCTGGTCTACAGAGTGAGTTCCAGGACAGCCAGGGCTACACAGAGAAACCCTGTCTCGAAAAACAAAACAAAACAAAACAAAACAAAAAGACCTTAAAATAGCCTTTATGCATATTATAGAGGCCCTTAAAGAGAAAACAATTAAATCCTTTAAAGAAATCCAGGAAACACACACACAGTGGAAAGAAATGAAGAAAACTTTTCAAGATGTTAAAGTGGAAAATTAAAAAAAAACTGAGTAAAATTTAGGAACTCAAGTAGGAAGCACAGAGACAAAGCTTCACCAACAGAATACAAGAGATGGAAGAAAGAATCTCAGGTATTGAAGACACAATAGAAGAAATAAATTCCTTGGTCAAAAAAGTGTTAGATCAAAAAAATCTGCTGGCATACAACATCCAGGAAACCTAGAACACTATGAAAAAACCAATTCCAAGAATAATAGGAATACAGGGAAGAAGAGAAAACCAGGTCAAAGGCACAGAAAGTATTTTTTAAAAGTCATGAAGGAAAATTTTCCTAACATAAAGAAGGAAATGCCTACCAAGATATAAGAAGCATACAGAACACCAAATAGACTAAATAAGAAAAGAAAGTTCCCTCAGCACATAACAATCAAAACACTAAGCATACAGAACAAAGAACATTAAACTCTGTAAGGGAAGAAGACCCAAGGACCAGTTTTCAGATGCTCTCTATATTTATTTGTTTGTCTGTCTGTTCATTTATTTATTCTTCTCTCACTCATTATATATCCACCACAGTTTTCCTTCCAATTATTTCTCCCAGTGCCTCCTCTCTTCTTTCCCTAGAGTCATTTCCTCCTATATTTAACTTCAGAAAAAAGTAGGCCTCCCAGGGATATCAGCCAAACATGGCATAACAAGATACAATAAAACTAGGCGCATCCTCTCATATCAAGGCTGGAACAGGCAACCCAGTAGGAGGAAAGGAGTCCCAAGAGCAGGCAAAGGAGTCATAGACAACGCCAACTATTGAGCTAGGGTCCAGTTTATGAGTGTAGTAGAATATCATTAGGAATCATTTCATTGATTTATTTTTATTTTTGTTTATTTATTTATTTATTTATTTGCCACTTGTATTTGATTCTATCCTAGATCTCTGAGATATCCAGCTGCTGGTTCTTGTCCATCCAGGCAGTTCCAGATATGAACTCCCTCTTGTGGCTGGTCTAAAATTTGAACCAGTCAATGGTTGGCCACTCCCACAAGTTCTGTGCCAGCTTTACCCCAGCACATTTTGCAGGCAAAACAAATTGTAAATCGAAGGTTTTGTGGCTGGGTTGATGCCTTATCCCCACCACTGGAAGCCTTGTCTAGTTACAGATGGTGGCTGGTTCAGGCTCTACATCCCCCATTCCTAGGATGGTCACCTTCTGTATTAGTCAGGGTTCTCTAGAGTCACAGAGCTTATGGAATGCCTCTATATTTTAAGGGAAATTATTGGAATGACTTACAGTCTGCAGTCCAACTAATCCAACAATGGGCAGCTGTGAATGGGAAGTCCAAGAAGCTGGTAGCTCTCAGTCCTACGAGGCTAGTTGTTTCAGCTGGTCTTCTGTATAAGCTGGAATTCTGAAGAAGTGGATTCCAACATATGTCCTGGCAAGTAAATGAAAGCAGGCAGAGAAGAAGGAAGCCTTTCTTCCATTGTCCTTATGTGAGCCTCTAGCAGAAGGTACGGCCTAGATTAAAGGTGTGTACCACCATGCCTGAACCTAAGCTGTTCTTCACTTGGAACATGTTCTGTTCCAGACTGGCCTTAAACTCAGAGATCTGCCTACCTTTGTCTCCTGGGATTAAAGACTTGTACCACCTTACCTGGGCCTAAGATTTTCATGGCCACTATGCCTTAAGATCTGGATCACAGGTGAACCCTCCACCTCTGGATTGTAGTTCATTCCAGATAAAGTCAAGTTGACAACTGGGAATAGCCATCACACCTTCTTAGATTCCAGGGAGTTTCTACTGCAGTATATTTCTCAGCCGCTCAAAATATAATAATAATTATGATAATAATAAGAAGAATAAGAATAAGAATAATAATAATAAGGAGAAGAAGAAGAAGAAATTTGCAGGCAAATGGATGGAACTTGAAAAAAGATCATTGTAAGGCAACCCAGATCCAGAAAGACAAATGAAGCATGTACTTCCTTATAAGTGGATATTGGATATAAAGTAAAGGATAATCTTGCTACAATCCACAACCCAGAGAGGCCAAGTGACAAGGAGGGCTCAAAACGGGAAACCTGAATCTCCTTGGGAAGGGTAAGGAGAATACATATTGTGAGCAGACAGGGAGCAAGTGGGGATGGGAACAAGAGGGATCAGTTGGAGGAAGATGGACTGAGAGAGCTCTAGGGGAGACAGACAATGAGACTTTGGGGGCATTTGGGGCAGGAAGTTAACTCTTCCTTTTTCAGTAAGCAAAAGGCTCCCATCTTCCTAGTAAGGACACGTCTTGTCTGTAAGTCACAGAAGCAGGCACTGAGAGGTTCACACAGCTTTTATTTCCTATGAGATATTATTGACCTTTAGAGAATGATGAATATAGGGTATGGGGTGCCCC